GTTGCTGAGGACTGCAAGCAAATGCTCGAATTAATTTCATATTCCCAGCGAGGTTTCCGCCTATCACACAAAACGATAACTGCGACCTTGACAACCGCTTGCACACAACAGCACCGGCAAATGTGGAGCGCAACGCACTGTGATAAAAGGGTAACCATAGAGGCGAGAAAACGTTGTGGCCACAACACAGGGTGTGTGCAACAACAACAAAAGATTCACCACAACATATATTTTTCTTTCTCTTTAGGCATTTAAACATTGCACTCCTTACTTTAAAAGAATGGTCCCCCAGGGGACTGACGGTTTCACAAGCTATAATTCAGTGTTTTTTGTGGTCTTTTTGTTGTTTGTTTTTAGTTGAGGCTAAAATAGTCAGTTTAGCATTCAAACAGCTGAACGACCCAAGAAATGGCCGTAGGCCAACACTGTTGATCCAGTCACTGCAGTGGTAATTATACAGTGCGGACACACTGCCTTGATTAGACCTCATGAATAATGTAGATAATAGTCGGTTGGAGTGTATATATATATATATATATATATATATATATATATATATATATATATATATATATATATATATATATATATGTGTGTGAGAAAAATGCTCCTCTCACTCTTGTTATTTTTTAAGGGCAGTCAGAGAGTGAAAAACAGTCGGATGTTGTCTCCCCCCGCCCCCAGATCAGCTGATAACACCACAGAACAGGAGATTCAGTGAACCCTCTGACTCCCTCTCTCCATCACCTCCACCTTATCTCTCTCCTTCACTCCCATCTCCTCCTCCTCCTCTTTTTATCCTTCCCGCTCTCCCCCATTTGTCTCTCCTCGTTTTCTCCTCTCTGCCTATTTCTTTTTTATGTTGCCTATTTCTTCTTTTTATGTTTCTCTCTCTGTCTATGCCTCTCTCTCTCTCTCTCTCTCTCTACTCACTTTCTCTCTGGATGTCTACGTCTCTCTCTCTCATCACTTTCTCTCTGGATGTCTATGTCTCTCTCTCCTCACTTTCTTTCTGGATGTCTATGTCTCTCTCTCTCCTCACTTTCTCTCTGGATGTCTATGTCTCTCTCTCTCGCCTCACTTTCTCTGTCTCTCTCTAACCCCCAAACGATACATCCTCAAACTAACCACGACTCCTCAGTTCTGTCTTTAGTTGTTTGTCCGTGTTAATATCGCTGCTGCCAGTAGCTCTTGGTTTGATTCTGGGAAGCGTCGCCGTCGGTGCCGATTCCCCATCCAATTCACCACAGCTTGGAATTCAGATCAGACAACAGTACTTTAGACAGTTATTGCAGCACTTGACAGTGTTTTGCTCGGATCCAAGGAGTGCCCATCAATCCATCTATCTATCTATGTATCTATCTATTTATCTGTCTGTCTGTCTGTCTATTGCTAGACATAGAGAGACAGATAGACACACACAGTGAAGTCCTGAGTCATCTACCTACCTACCCCCAGCGAGGCCCAGCCGGACGGTCCTCGTCTCGGACCGAGCGGAGGGGGGGAGTGAGTGGTGATTCTGTTGTCTGCGAGGAGGCAATGCTAATTGAAGCGCTGAGCGGCGGCGGGGCTCGGCGGGGTCGCCAGGGACAGAGCTGCGGACCTCAGCAGTGCTGTCAGAGGACACATCAGGCTGGCAGGAAAGTTCTGCTGTGGAGGTTCTAGCTGTCTTTAAACAGAGCCCCGGGAGAACCAGGGGGAGAGGAGGGGTGAGACGGAGAGAAGCAGAGAGAGCGAAACAGGGGTGAGAGAGGCAAGGAAGCAGAGGGAGAGAAACAGCCAGATAGGGAGAAAGAGAGGAGTAAACAGAAAAAAACAGAGCAAGAGAAAAATAATCAGAGAGGGAGATGGAGAGAGAGAGAGAGAGAGAGAGAGAGAGAGAGAGAGAGAGAGAGAGAGAGAGAGAGAGAGTACGACTTGATTTATTGGAAAAGCTGCACATATATCTCTGGCTGTGCAGGTATGACTGCTGTAAATATTAAATAAATGTATGTTGCTGCTCTAGCTGTGAATAACGGCAGCCGAGCGAGTCTAGGGTAGCTGGTGTTAGCTTTAGGCAGAGGATAAAAATGTAATTGCCACAACTCATTTAAGAGCGGCAATCAGGCGTTAATCAGCCGAGGCGGCCCAGAGATAGCGAATCCGACGTGTTGAGTTAGGATTATTGTGGAAGCAGCTCTCAACCAGTTCATTTCTGATCGACGTCGAGCGTGTGGAAATTCACCTCGCTGTTTTGTAATATAATTAATCTCCTGTGTTGGTAAGCAGGCGGGTAGTGCAACAGACCTGTGAATCTGTCTCTGAACAGCAGCCGAACGGGGGAAACAAACATGCATAGTGGCCTGGTTTGTTTGAGTGTATCACACAAGGTTTAGGGAAGGTCGCACGTAAAGTGGATCTGCTCCCTGGGCGGAGGGGACGGTTTAGATTCCTTTTAAAGCTCGGCGCCTTCATTCATTAGCTGCGTTTGGGTCTCGGTCCGTTTAATTGGCCAACTCTTAAGGGAGAGAAAATTGAAAAGCGAGATTTAATTTCATAAGACGATTTCCAAAGGGATTCCTCTGTCTCACATGCCCTCAGCCTATTACTTGTCTTGGATAAAGCAATTACAACGCAGCGCCGAGGACGTGGCTTCACAGAGTGTGTGTTTTAGGCAGCTGTACGCCGCTGTACACCCTCCCGCTTACACCGATCACACTTTGGAGAGTTTTATCTCCCGTGGAGGTCGCTGGAAAGCGATCAGTATTCACAGCAGATGTACTTTTTTTTAATTTCTAGTCCGTGTTGCTGTTAACACTGGAATACATTAGAGAGAGAGACAGAGAAGGCGACACACACATATATTCAGACACACACACACACACACACACACACACACACACACACACACTATGGGGGGTGAGAAGGGTCACGGGGGACTAGACACACGTACGTACGTTCGTGTAGTTTTTTACTTAAAGTCCCACATGAATGTACGTACGTATGTCTGCGTGTGATGAGTTTAACTCAGCCATGCAGACCGCACGTTTGTGCGGTTTTATCTGTTTTCGTCATTTTGTTTTATCTGTTCATCATTTATGTAGCCTTAAATGGACTAGATAGACATCATAGTAATCAATCAATGAAACTAGGATAATAATAGGCCTATTCATAATTATAGGCTAATAATATTAGTCCATTATTGATCGTTTTTTGTTTTAGCTGTATTGTCATTCATGTTGTTTTATTTTCGTTTTTAATAATAATAAAAAAATCCATTCAGGCTCCTCTGTGTTATAGGAACATGAATGACAATACACACACACACAGACACACGTAGGACACACACATTTTAGAAAATGGAAACTATTATTATGTATTCATTGTGTTCTGATTATCTGTAAACGAATGAGGATTTTTCTCAATGTCATCAATTCACATCAAGCACCCAATTTCAAGTGTCACACCTTTTGATTAAAAAATAATTTCTCTACATGCTTCAGAATTGATATTCTCAACACATTAGGTCCTTATGCTGGAGAACTAATGGCATGCATTAGTAGTCAGCCTCATCTGTGCTCGGGGATGAACATCATCATCATAATAATAGCAATAATAACAATACTACTAATAATAGAACAATATAACAAATAAGATAATTTTTGCTCATTGCAGAATAGTTCAGTTCAGTCACACACACACACACACACACACACACACACACACACACACACACACACACACACACACACACAATGCCTAGTCAGGGAGCGCTGACAGCCAAGAGAGTTGTTACCGTGCCAATAACAACACGCGCACGTTGCACGTAAAGCGTGCAACAACACTGACTAGAGACGTGTGTAATCCCCATAAAAAGCTTGTTTAAAGGAGAGGTTCGCATGGGCTTTGGTGGTTATGCGGGCAGGATACAGAGGGTAGGCCTATACACAGGTTTAATATTTCCCGTTTAGCCTTCCAAAATAATAATCCTCAGTTGATATTTCAGGAGGTGTTTTTGATGCGTGATGCGCCTCCGCGCTAATGAAGAGAGAACATGGCGGCGGTTTCCCGCCTTCCCTTCCTCTCGGCTGGCTGGCAGATATCCACTGACTGCTGACTGACATTAATGGCCGTCGTGAGTCAGCAGATCTTTGGGAATTCATCAAGGGGATAAAATAGAGAGAATATGAATTGCCTAATTAAGTCGGAAGACAGTTTTTATCGTATGCAAACGAGGCCCAACATGCAGCCACGCCCAGAAAGCAGCTATCAGTTACTGCACACGGCCAAATTATTATTATTACCTTTCATATTGATAGTTGTGCTACAGCTGGATGTGCAGTTTGATATTATCAAATGAATCACACCCATACGATAACTTGACAATAACAGCACATAGTCTAATGGGCAGAGTGTGCGACTCCCAGCTGAAAGGGTCTGGGTTCGAACCCGTTCCCTGCAGTCTGACCTGTAAGCATCCTCATGCAAGATACCCTAATTAACCCCTAACCGCTCCTTAGCTAAATGTGTCTAAAACTGTTTTTTCATCAGATGTCCAATCCAGCGTCATCAAATTAACCCATATGTTTTTTTTTGTAAACCTCCACACTTCTTTGTCATCCAGACGTTTGACTCTGAGCCATCCATTATTGAAGCACATGAATTATTTTACAAACAGAAATGGGATTTTGTGATAAATAATTCTGGTTCAGTGAAGCGGTTTCGTCCCGCTTGGGTTCGCCCTGTGAAAATGAATGACAGAGTCCTGTGGATGAGTGACTGGGAGGAGGAATAGGGGAAGGAGGCGGTAGAATATGAGGATAAGAGGAGGAAGAGGGGGAATAAGAGGACTTGGAGGTTGGAGGTATCAGTTCAGGTCCAAATTTTCCAAAGTCTATAAAAAAGAGAAGGAGGGGATGTTTTTTTTTAAGAGAATCTTGTTCTTTTTACAACTTACAGCACCTTTAAGGAGTAAGTAGGGGTTAGGGGACATCTTACTAAAGGTCACCTACAGGTTAGACTGCAGAGACTAGGGATTGAACCCAGAACATTTCAGCTAGGAGTCAAACACCCACTAACCACTAGACTAGCCTTTCCTGCCAATACAATCAAAACAAAAGCAATACAATCTGGCTACACCTCAGGGGAGATACATGGAGATAACTTGATTGAGTTCCAACAACAAAGGCACATTTGTTAAGTGTGTTTCTTCATTTAAATGATGCAACACTTTCCCAAAGCAAATATCACATTTTCATTCACTTCATTTATATCACTTGCCGCAAAACAGTTTTTTTGTGATTGCATCATCAATCATATCATCACCCCTCCCCCCCACACACACACACACACACACTTTCCAACCCATCATAACTGTACTGGTGCATGAGCTACTTTTACAGTAAGACATTTCTATTGTCCATCTAACCCTTCTCCCCCATCCCTCCTCGCATGTTTCCTCCCTTCCTAAGTTTGGTCACCAGATAGAGAGCACTTTAAAATATTTTCTACTTTCTTATTCTGCTGAGGGGTTCTAGGGGTTCGGGGGGTGGAGAGATGAGGTTGAGCTCCCCCCCCCCCCCCCCCCCATGTATTATGTATAATATAAAATATAGCATAAATAACAGGACATGATGTCGCTTCTTCAATTAGCCGGCCGGCCTTCAAGCTGCGGGGGACACAGGTCGGCTCCGGTTCAAACCAGATCAAACATTCAGACCTGAGGGTTTAAATGTGAAAACCTAGAGCGTCAAACAAATGGATTAAAACGGCCTAAAATGTAAATGTTTGGGAAGAAAAATAGATTTTTGCCATCATTAGAAGCGACGGCTGGAACAAACAGGGAGAGCAAAACAGGAGACTGCGACGGCCGTTTGAATACAAATGAGCTTAATGTAGGCTAAGATGATTTATTCATACTCTACAGGGTCTGGGCGTATTTAGCATTATTCATTTCTAGAACTGTTCCATTTCCGTGGCGAGCCCACCGGCTAGGCTGCCGGCCAGCTCTGCTTGGGGGTGGCCGTGTGTGGGTCTGGTCCGGTATGAAATGTGTGAAGTGGAGCCGGGTGTCACGTAGAAAGGCCGCCGCCATTTCAATTTTGACGTTCGGTATTCACCTGTTTTCTACCTTTTTTCAGCCTTTTTTTTTTTTGGCTACCTAAAACGACCAATGTCTGAAATAGACCAGCTCTCTGTTCAACAAGCCATTGAGTTTACAAAGCGAAAAACAAAAAGAAAGAGTAGGGGAATGTCGAAGTTCAAACCAAGACAGCCGCGGTCAATGGCGATGAATGCACAGTGTGCTGCTCCTTTGTTTAGGATTCAGGGGGTTTGGATGTCTTCCAGTCGAGGATTAAAATAATGATTTAGAGGTTTGTTAGTCACAAGGACGGCTTGGCCGCCATTCAATAGGCTACTGAAAGTATACTTAAAGTATTAGAGGAAAGTGAAGTATAGCCAGGACAGCGGTGCAAATAGATGTCAAGCTAGGCCCATGTGTGTGTAAGGGATTTGTAAGTATTATGGTTGAAACGGATTTTGGACGGCTGTGGTTGGCGCGTATTAGACAGCGCTGCTCTACCGCTGGGAGCAGACTGGCTGGGACACTTACTGAACACATGAACTAAAGTAGATATAAACAACTTTGCTTGAATTAATGATTTGGTGTTAGTTTGGTTTGTGTATGAGTAGGCTATACTTTTTAATAATGAAAAATACTGCCTTAGAACTGATTGTAGAAGTAGTCATCTTCAATTGAGTCCACTAAGACAGCTAGCGGCGTTAAGGCTACGTATAAGGCTACGTTAGATTTATTCGTGCTACACTGCCTCTTCTTCCCTTCACATGGATGCACATCTGTGAAGTGATGCATGCGTATTTGGATATGTCCTCACATGATGTTCATTAGGGCATCTAAATGTGTGTATTTAAGTGAGAAGCTGTGCGCTCCTCGCAGGACGCTAATTGTAGAAGCACTTCTATTTGTGATGGTTTGTTTCATTGTAATGAAAAGAGCATCGCGACACGAAGCAGGAAAGCAAACAAACCAAATCTCAAAGGTTCTCCATTTTTTTCTTTGTTTAAATAAAATTTTATTTTCTTGTCTCTTGAATCTCCGTGTACAAGAATGAGTAACAAAAGCCAAATGAGCGATCCATTGAAGTCTTTTAAAAAACAGTAAGGCATGTCTGCTTGAACTGTCGCCTCGACTTACGTCAAGCTAAGCAGAGAGCGTTCCCATGGCAACGTTCCCAAACACGCTACCGGCCGGGCTGCGCTCCCCGCGTCACAACAACAAAGTTACACTCAGAGCGAGGGGGTTGTTTAGCAACACAATCAAAATTGATCTGAAAAATAATTTGCATAACACTTTTGCTTCTGTAAAAGCCCGCCACACGACAAAGTCTCGCCAAGACACCCGGGACGTTATCGATTCATTTCTTTTTTTTCTCACTACACCAGAAGACAGGCTTAAGAGTGGTGTGTGTGTGTGTGTGTGTGTGTGTGTGTGTGTGTGTGTGGAGGGGGAACTATTACAGATATCCACGGTGAACATCTACGCGTGCCAGAAATGGATAGGCTTGTGCACATCGACATCCACCACAAGCAGCCAGAGAGGACCTCCTCTTGTCAGGACGCAGAGAAGAGACTTTTTATTCATCCTAAAATAAGCCCTTTGGAAACAGGGGATGTGTAACATGAGGTCTGCCTCTTTACCTTCCCCATAAAAACTGGTTTTATTTCAGACGGGAGCCGCCTGCCCTTCTCTCACTCCCCCTCACTGGGGGCTGTTAGCTGCTGTAGAGCTGTGGACTAGAGTCTCCTCAGGGTGCACTCAACCTTTTCATGTCCTGCTCCTCCTTCTCCTCCTCCTCCTGCTCCCCCCAGCCTCCTCGCAATCACCACTGGTTGTTTGAAGGGCTCAGGATCCACCACTGGCCGGGAACATGACTACCTGACCACAGACCTGAAAACACCTTCCTAACATTTCATCCAGTCTGGTGGACTTAGTTTGACCGATTGATGCTTGGCTAGATTTTACTTGTTGACAATTTGAATTGCCAAACATGAATAAAATGTCGGCAGTTATATTTGGCAAAATTTAACATACAAATCTTTACTTAATTAACTTTACGAATAAAGTATTTGACGATTCGGATTGAATTCTACCAATATCACACTTTTTGCCAACTTTTTTTGATTGCAAAGTGTTCTTGCCAATCCAGCCTACCAATCGCGTTCTCTCATAAATTATAAATTCACTTTGAAAAATCACAGCAAGGCATCTCCAAGTTGGATGACGAAAAACCAATTTATGTCTAAGAAACCAATTGAAGTGTAGAAAACCAATTTAAGTGTACACCATGGTCCATTTCCTCTTATTAATTAAAATAGCTGACAGAACATTCTAGTCCATCATCACATGATAAAACATACTGTACCAAGAAAAAAACAACCTTGAATATTTAGAAACTCAATGATTTTTTGAAGAGGACAAAATATGATACAGGATTTAAATAAATAGGATTGTAGTTTTGGAACAAAAATGGATAAAGGATAATATTAAAAATAAATACATATATACATGTAGTGAGAGTCAAGTCGAATAAAAATGTGAAAGCTGGATTGAATCAATTAAAAAGGTTGGTAAATTATTTAAAACCTCAGACAAACAGAAATTAATTCTTCAACATATGGGCTTAATGTTAAATATATATATAGACGATTGACCCTGCAAAAATAATCAGTGCAAAATGACTTCTCTTTGTATGGTATATTAGTACTCTGGCCGATAAAATAAAATCAAGTGTGCAATTACAGAAGAGCAGGAGGAATTCCTCTTTTCTAGGTCAGACGGACACATAAGCTTGCAGTAGTCCAGACATAATGGAGACCATTTCCGGCTGGAAAATCTTTTCTCAAATATAACCAATATTACCATGCTACCACGCACATGTACACACACACACACACACACACACACACACACACACACACACACACACACACACAGTAAAAAACATTCTCCGTTCTGCGGGAGAGAAAAGCAGACCTCTTTTTCACCATAGGCCATAAAAAGGAAAACAACAAAAAACAAGCCAGACCAAACATACTCGCCCTTTCAGACGCACGTTCTACAAGGGGGTGGTGGCGGCGCTGCAACCCTCTTCTAGACGCGCCAACCTGGGGCGCTGGCGCCAAGTGTTCTTTGGGAGACAAAGGAGAAGGACGCATAGACCAATCCTGTGGTTCCTGCAGGTCCCTAGAGGTCCCTGCAGGTCCCTAGAGGTTCCTGGAGGTCCCTAGAAGTTCATGGAGGTCCCTAGAGGTCCCTAGAGTTCCCTTGACGTTCTAAAGGTTCAATGATGGAACCTCACAAAGCGCCAGAACCTCTGCATTCGGGAAAAACAGCTGTCTCAAGAGCGCACACTCGGTCAGTCTGGTGGCAGTCGCTGGTACTATCTCCATGGCAACCGTGCGACGGGCAGCGAGCATGCGATGAGGAGGAGGTGTCCGGTGGTGAGTAGCAGCAGGAGGGGGGAGGGGCGGTGCGACACCGAGCGCCCCCCCGGTGCCGCCGCCCGCTCATCGCTGCGGTCGGCCCTGACAACCGGTGCCTCGGAGCCCGCCGGGGGGAGGGGCTCCGTGGGGGTTGGGGGGCAGCCGTCCGCCGCGCAGCCGTTACCGCTGCTGGAGCCGCTGCCCTCGTCACCTGGTGGGGAAGGGGGGCACAAATAGCATCAACAATAACGAACGTCGTCCACAACAATGTAACAGCATCATCAACAACAACAACAGCAACAACAATGTCCGCAGCAAAAACATTGCCAACTTTAAAGTCAAACAATGTCAGCAAAGTCAAACAACGTGGTCAACAACAGCGAAGTCAACAACGTCAAGGTCGACAATAAGTCAACACACAACAAGTCAAGACATTGCCTGCAACAAATCGATAATGGCGACGGCGGTGGCATTTGATTGGTGAAGACATGCAGGAGTTAGAGTTAGTCATCTTCCCGTGCACCACGGAGGTGGAGAGTTTAGGGAAGTGAAGTGAGATTCCACCCTCAGGATTTTAAGCCAGCCCTTCTGATTGG